GAAAAAAAAAAAGGAAAAAGAGAGAGAGAGAAAAAAAAGGAACTAAAAAGAAACGCTTCAATACGAGTAGGAAAGATGAGTCCTGTTCCTCACTGAAACTGTCCAGACAGACTCTCTTATGTTTGTCCATGTCCCATGATGTGTTTGGAGAGCCAGGAGAATGGCTGGATGTGTTATCCAAACACGGAATAGCACACTTAACAGCTCTGCTGTGACACTGACCAGTCAGCACAGCTTCCCTTGGACATCAGCTGCACATGATGGAGGCAGAGATGAGCAAATCTTCCTGGATACGTGCCCGTGGACAATTTGTGTTGCCTCTTTACTGCTGTTTGGACTACCTCTGTCTTTTCTGTGTAGTCTCCCCCTTCAGTCCTGACTCCTGTCCTGTTTCTTCTTGCTGTGGAGTCAAGGCCATGTGTTTTAATGGGGGTGGGGTTCAGGAAAGGAGGAAGCGCCTCCCTTTTCCTACAGAGAAGGTCTCTGTAAAGGGTCTCAGAAGGATTCTCTTAGCTCTGGGCACAAAGTATAAATTGGACAAAAGGCTGTAATATGCAAAACCTGGAAAATGTGCAAATTTTTCATACTTATCATCTTCCAGGTACAGCTTCCCAATAATTTCTAACTCCACAGCTTAATCTCTAGTAATGCTTAGTTTTGAACTTAGCTTAAATGTGGCAAAGAATCTAGAGCTAACTGAATTACTACCCAGCCCTTGGGTATTTCAGTAAACTCCAAAAGGCCCAGTAAGACAGAATAGAAAAGGAGAGCGATAGATTTTGTAATTAAAAAGCTGCCAGTCTCCTGAAGTTGACTAAATGAGTTAAATCATCTAAGCCTTTCAGACTGAAGCATTTGCATCTTCAGCCCCAAATCATTTATAAGCAGTTGCAAATGATGGCATATATGTAGAAATACCTCTCATGGTAAATACTGCCTTGGGCACAACTTATTCAGCATGAAGCCTCCGTCTCCAAGTAGTTTGAAACTATAGTACTGGGCATAGCAGGTTACAGCAACCCAAGAGACAGGAGAGGTGAGGTTCCCACCTCCAAACTGGGGTGATGCAATCTCCTGGTCAAGTGCAGCTGAGGAAATTAAACAGTTTTGGAAACCATAGTTATTCCTTTTCAGCCACCTGAAACCTTGAAGCCTCAAGGACTCTTGTGTGCAGGACACACCGATGTGGACGCCTGACTTTTACAATAGTATCTTCGAGGACAAGGCATCACAGTTGCACAGGAAAGTGGTCCATCTGTCCTTTGTGTACCTGTACTGCTTTAACAACATGCCATAAAGCAGGCTGGAATAGTTCTTCCACCTCTGCCAGTAGGCTCTACGAGGAGGTAAGAGTGTGGTAAAAGTAAGCACGGTGCAGGAGGGTAGACCACACTCGAGTGCCAGTTTGTTGATAACTGGACGTGGGTTGATGGCACTCTCCTGCCTAAACTCCAGCCATGTGGCCTGATTCGTCCCAAGGATGCTGTGGTGCATCAGTGTGTGTTGTCACCAGGTCTTTGGGTGCTTGTGCAAGCAGCTGAGAGCTCTTCTATCCATAACCCCAGCAGCAAAGTTGGGGTCCTCCATCGCTGCCTTGGGTAAGACTGTTCCCTGATCCTGACCACGGGTGAGGTGCTGGAGCCACGGGGCTCTCCTTGGGGGACTTTTTCACTAGAGAGAGGGAAGGGAGGGAGGTGGACCCCTGCCAACAGATCTGAAAAAGAAGGGTCTTTTGCTCAATTATCTGGATATATATTGCCATTGCTGGTTTTGCTTGGCTTTACGACTGTGCTCCCTCTTGCCTAATAAAGATCTGGGAATGCAAGCGAGCGGTGGAAATCCATCTCTTTAAGAGCTCTTGGGGAGGGTATGTTTAGTTTTCTCAGGTTTCTAAGTGGAGACTGGAATTTAGTCCTTTATCAAGAGGGGCCATTGGGATATTAAATCCAGACATTTTCTCTGCTGTTAACCACCTGGCAGAAAGGTTACGCTAATTACATCAGATGTATTTTCTCAAATTTTCCTGCTTCTATTAAGAGCGTGAGGCTCATGTCAGAGGAACCGCTGGGAAACGCAACCTGTCTTATCCACGTCTCGGTTCTGGGATTAACCAGGTGACAGAGAGACCCTCGTGGGAGTCATGGCGTGGAGACAGAAATGGGCAGGTCATGAGAGATGAGCGTGGCAGAGAGGACCTGACTCCGTCACCGCAGAGGTCCAGGTCCATACATACAGGGCAGTGAGTACAGGCACTGTGCCAGTAGACAGGGCACAAGACTATGTGGCTTAGAGCTTGGCTTGGTAGGAGCAATGGAAGTAATTTTTATGCTGTGCAAATGGCTCTCTACTTTCCTCCTAATGCTCAACAGACATTTTTTTGGGGTTGCCGTTGTGAGAACGATGGGAATGGTGAAGCAGATGTTGGCTTGGTCCAGAGAGGGAGGAAAAAAAAAAGGAACAAGAGGTGGGAGAGAGCCCCTGTAGCAAATGCCACAGTTTGGATAACCGTCATCTCAAGCCCTCAGGTATCACCCATGCAAACTGGAGTGTCTGGCCTTTTATTACTTTTCCTTGTGTAGTATTTTGGGATATTTTTTATTTATTTTTTTGCCAAGGGTGCCTCAAAACTCGTCTGTGTTAAGCTGTGGGCCAAGCTTTGGTGGAAACTTACAGCACTAGGATTTTGCTGGGAGGCAGCAGTGTTAATTTTTACCTCCATCCAAAAACAAATTGCCCAGAAGTTACAGTGGCAAAACCAGTTTTTGGTAGAAAAGAAAATCATTGTTATGCACAAAAGAGAGAAGCACAATAAAAAGTCACAGTTAAAAAGGGAGAAAAGTAAAATATGATTTGACCTTGTCCTTTCAAGATGAGACTCAGGCATGAAGCTGCATTGTGGGCTAAAACTCCTACATTTAATGACAGATCTTCTGACATGCTCCCACCAGATGCTTCTGTAGATTGGAAATGAGCAACAGGGAAGAAATATGGTATTTTCTTACATGATGCAACAAGATGTTGTACTTCCTGGCCACATATAAAATGAATTTACAACGGAAACATGCCAGAAATGCCTGAGGGTAACACTAGCCATAGCAGAACACTGAGTCTTTTTTTTTTTTTTTATCCCAGCACTGAATAATGGGACTGAATGTATTTTTTCTTAAAACAACCCCAGGATGGGTGGCTGGAGTGTGAGATCAAGGTTCCATGTTTCATAGGGCACATCGGGAAAAAGTTATTGTGTAATCAGATCTCATATGCACATATGTCCTCTGTCACACACACTCTAGATAACTCTCAGGTTTATTTTTTGCAACAGACCCCTACAGTGATGACATTATGAAATTAATATTATTACTATGAATAATTGCATCATTTTCTCTGATTCTAGTTATTCCTATTTCCTGCTAATACATGCATGTCGATGCTCTTCATTGCTGGAGTGACTGGAAGCATTTCACGCGGTTTGCAGTGTATAGCTTTAAGGTCCTCCAAGCAAAGGGGAAAAATATACCTTGACCCTTTTTGGCCTTGAAACTAGGCAACAGATTTGCAAAATATTTAAGCATGGGGCTACCAGGTTCTCTGCCAAGGTCACCGTAACCTATAAAACCACTCCCACTGATTTCATTAGCCTTTATGTTACCCTGAAAAGACCAGAGCCATCAGAGATGCCTATTAGTACAAAGCATGGAAAAGAGGGATAGCCAATCTCGTAATGCATGTAATATAGGTAATATAATGTAATATAGGTAATATAGGTAAATAGTAATTTGACCTGCACTGGGACCCATGTGTCTCAGGGGGCTGAAGGGCAGCGCTGAGCAGTCAGGGATGAAGAGCCAGGCAGGGAGAGGGGCAGATTTGGATGCTGGTTACAATAGTGCAAACCTCCCTTTTGGGATAAGCAATGGGAACAGGAGAAAACACCACTGGGAAGTAAGTTGAGAGACCTGGAAGATCTTAATGCCTTATTTAGGGCTCTTTGCCTTGGTGTCAGCTCTTCCACACCGATGCACATCTGCTTTCCTAACCACAATGCTATCCGAAGCCTCCATCTTGGTTAACATTTCATTATTCACACTCCGGGAATTATCATTTCCTCTAGACATGCTGACAAAGCTCATTGTTTATTGCTCACAGCATGTCAGAACTGCTGGTTTTGCTTTGGACTGCAAGATGTTTGGAAAGCCACATGCTTTTTCTGAAGCCGGCTCAGTCCCCTCCGTGCCAGCCTTGGCTGCTGCCTTTGCCTTCGTCCAGAACGCTGGATCCTGTCCACGATGGGCCAGAGCAGAGGAGAACGTCAGCTTGAGACTGACCAAACAGCACTGGATTTCATGTAATCTTGGCCAAATTCTTCCTGGCAGCCACAGGCACAGCCTTTTCAGCAGCAACGGCTGGTGGTTTTCTACCTTTCTCCAAACCCATGGATAAGGCTGTTTGAGGAGTGAGCCAGGGAAGGTGATCTGGAAATGTTCCCCTCGTGCTGTTCCCCCCCACCCAGGGGAGATTATGGCTCTTCCTGGCAGTAGTATTGCCCATGGAGGGATTATAATAGGAGAGGAGGCCATGCACCACCCCTTCTGGAAAAGGAAGCAATCTTCAGCTGTGGTCCAGTGCTTTAGGTGCCCTCCCAGTGCCCCCCCCGCCCCCCAAAAAATGGGAGCAGCACCTGGCTGCTCACTGACCTGTTAGAACCCTGCAATCACAAATGGTTGCTGAATGTTGCAGTTGGAGAAATGCAGGTCATTATTTATTATTAGTAGATTAGATCGTAGGAAGAAATTCTTTCCTGTGAGGGTGGTGAGACACTGGAACAAGTTGCCCAGAGAAGCTGTGGCTGCCCCATCCCTGGAGGGGTTCAAGGCCAGGCTGGATGGGGCTTTGAGCAACCTGGTCTGGTGGGAGGTGTCCCTGTCCATGGCAGGGGGGTTGAAACTGGATGATCTTTAAGGTGCCTTCCAACCCAAACCATTCTATGATTCTGTGATTAGTTACTGCATTTCATATGACAGGACGTACATTTTTTCCATAAATCCATGAAATCCAAACTAGCACAAAATCCGCAGGACTAGTCCTACAGATCCGTGCAATGTTACCTCTGCCTGCACAGCTGAGCTCTCATTTCACTCCAGGGGCAGTGAGAGCTGCGTTTTTGATGGAAGGCTCAATTTCTGTCTTGCAGGAAGAGTCCCGAACCACATAATCTGATTTCCCCAGCTAAAGGACAACCTTCTCCTGAGTGACTTGTCCCTGCAGGCAGGGAGACCTTCTGCCTGCCCAGGGACAACAAATGGCCCAGGTGGAGCGAGGGCAGCTGCACCCAATGAGTGGAGGCAGAGGAGCTGGAATGGATTAAGAGCTGTTAAGTCCAGCTGTAAGTAAATGGCAACCAGGGGCTGTTCTCTGTGTGTAGCAATTCCACAGGGACGAGCCAGGTGATGGCAACACTCCTCATTGCAGGAGGCAGATGTTCTGGAAGGCCCAGGACACATCCTCCTCAGTATGGAGGTCCCAATGCATCCAGTGATTCCTTCCAAGGTTGGGTTGCTCCCCCGGTGGTAACCCTGAAGGAACCAGTCCAGCCTGGGGAGGTAATAAGGAGTACTGGAGGGTTTGTTATCACTGGGAAACCAACAAGTGGTTTGAACAGTTGTTTGGGAGGACAGAAAACTCCTGAGGGTCACCGGTGCTGATGACAAACAGCAGCTTGACCACAAAGACCACAGGAAGGTGCGTGATACTGCTCCCCACCAGCACCTCACTTGGTCTCACTTTGCTGCCTTGGTCTGACAAGCTCCTGTAGATGTGATCAGTCTCCTGGAGCTTGTTATCCCCTGTTTTATTTGCATCACACCGGACCTCTCCAGGTGATTAAACAAAAGCCATCTTTTTATTATTGTTGTTGTTTTTACTGTGCAATTGCTATGTCCTTTATTAGGGCTTTGCTTTTCCGGTGAGGAATAATCTCTGGAAACTTGGACAGGATCCTTTGGCTCACACTAGAAAAGGTAATAAAATCCTGGGAACCCAAAATGCTTCTCTGTTGTTTTCACCAAATCTCTTTTCCCATCTTGAAAAATGTGCTTCTCTGTTCTGATTTGTTTCCTGATTTAGGGAAAATTTCTTCCTAACCTGCCAGCCTTTCTCCTGTCCAGCAGACCGGGCACTAGAGAGGCTCTGACCAAGTGCTCAGAGGGCTTCAAAGACCTTCCTTCTGCTCTCCACCACACTTCTGCCTCTCCCTACAGTTACAAGGAAGCCACTTATTTCCTCATTGCTCCGGGTTCTCTGCCACCTTATGATATAATATTTACTTACCTTTTCAAAGCATTTTAAATCTCCCTAGGAATGCATTATAAAAGTGCATTAGTGTTATTACTACTCTCCGTTGTGTAACTTGGAGAAATAGCTTACGTAAGGCTGGCTCCTCTGTCCCCTCTCTGACCCCCATCCATTGTCCCAGTGCTGCTGCCTCCTCCCCACCACAGCAATAATTAAGCTCTGGTTTCCCAGTATCCCCCCTCAGGCTCCTACCCAGCCCTTGGGGAATAACCATCCAGTCCCCTCTACATCCCTCCAGAGATGGGCAGCTTTGGATTCAAAGGTCCTGCTGCTTCTCTCTCCACACCTCTGTGGGACATGCCTGCATTATAGCCCCAATATAAGTTTTCAGAGGCTTCAGAATAACTTGTATGGTCTCAAAGCCCCCTTTTCTGTCATCTCTGAAGCACCCCATCAACAAAAAACTTACATATTTCTTTATAACTATGACATGAGTTTTATCAGGAGGACATTTTTAATCTTTTACCCTCATACTCTCTCAGACTAAGCTTTCACAAACCAAGTATAGTAGGACGGTAAGAGCAGCCATTTATTATCCTAAAGTAGAATGTACTCAGATGTGATGGTGGGAAGACCGAAGCTCCTGATGGGGATGACATAGCTGAATGCTGATGTGCTACTGACTGTGACCTGCTTTCTCCGCCACAACGTTTTTCTTTTTAGTAGGTAAGTTACATTTTTTTTTGTTCCCTTTATTTGCTGTCATGCCAAAACACCTATTTTCAGTGAGATAAAAGGCTGTCAAAACAGCAGGTACTTAAACTAACAACACAGTGTAGGATCTTTCACTAAACGAGCTGGCGACAGGAATCTGAAGAGTGCAAACTAGTGAGACTCCTCCATGCTCTTCCTCCTCTTTCTCTTCCTCCTTTCCTGAAGGATATCGGGCCACATCCTCACCAATTTATGTGAAACAGCTGCCAGGTTTCATGCCAGAGGTGACTGCATTTCAGAGACAAGCAAATTTACTGCTGTGTTGCTGCCAGATACTGATCTCATGTACATTAGCCTTGGCTTTTCAAACAGCTCCGTTGGACTCCGGTGGAGCAGCTCCAGCCTGACCCCAGCGTTAGAGAGCTCTGAGCCCATTCCACTATTTTTTGGCATTCAAAAAATGTAAAGTATGTGTCTTATAACAATGTACCCATACATTCTGCCATCCTGTTAACTCGTGTCTCACACAGGCGCTCTCTCTCTCACTCATAGCCAATTATTTAGACAAGAACTGGTGACTAATAGAAGCAATTTGTAGGAAACATGCTGTTCCCAAGTGACCAACAGCAAATTGCTAATGACTGACATTAGAATGACCGTTCTCCGAAGAGGAATAGCTGAAAGCCTACTGTGCACAGCATTGATCACATTTAACACCAAAACACCCCCCTGCTGATACTGACACCTGCCATTTATCCTGGCTACTGCTTGCCTCCTTTCTCCAGTACATCTGTAACAGCAATTACACCAAAATGCAACAACCACGTATTTGTTTACACAAACACGAAATGTGATTTAAAACACTTCGGTAATGTGACCTTATAAACTTGATGGGCAAAATATTAAAAATACGAATGCACTATGGGGAGCAATTCTGCACTGCTCAGGAGATGGATCGTAGGGCTTAATAGATTGTTTCCATCTCTGAAATTTCTGAGTCATGATGAATGGAATTTCTTAGTATTTGAAACAAGAGAGGGGCATGTTTAAAAAGACTGGAGAGGACTGCAGTGTAAAATCTTTGCACTATAAAAAAGGCAGCCTTGGGTTTTATTGCCCCTGCAGGGAGTCTCCTGTGAACCAAACAGCAACTAAATCAAATAAACATTTCTGAATTAAATCCATCTTCTATTTAGCTTTGGGGAGTTTAAAAAACCCAGTAATTTATTGAATTGCCTTTCATGGTTATACCTGCAGATGCCTTTTGAATTTGATAGCAAAAACATTTAAACTCACAGTGTTTCCCAAATCAGCTAAATCCATTATATCACCCGTGCCAGTTACTATATTTGTAGGGCAGTAAACAGTGGCCTTTATTGTTTGCTGTTCGTGGGGCTGTGCGTAAGAATGAGCTTAGTCTGTCTCCAGAGATATACACCTACCTTACTGGCACCAGAAATATTATACCAGCTTAAATCAGTGCGAGCTTTCCATGCTGTCACTGCCTCCCCTGTTTTGATTTGGTGACGGTAATCTCTACTCACTGCTGTGCTGATACCCTTGGAGTCAAGGCCCCTTCTCTACTTCTGCTGTTTCTGAAAGAAAAAATCTAACAAGTGCAGCTTAGGCATGTTATGAACAGTTAGCAAATTTCCACACCTAAGAGGGTATGTGGGCTCAGATATCTGCTTAACTTTGCAAGCAGATGGAGAGGTGAAAATCCTTACGTGGGCTTGTCATATCCTTATCTTGAACCCTCCAGAAAAGCAGGAAAATGAAGGCGAGAAGGTGAATGATCCAGACATCAAGTAACTCAGCTCGTCTCACAGGCAGTGAAATTTGCTTAGAAAACCCAAGAGAGAGGAAAAATCCAGATGGATGTGGAGTACTGCAGTTTTGGCAAATGTGCTCCATGAGGAGTGTGAGGGCAGAGTCCAGGGATTAGGGCAGAGCCATCCTAAAGGGTTTTAGGAGCAAACACAGCAGAGGATATGATGATGGTACCTACACTGCTCTCTGGGGCGGAGGTCTTTGGGGAGAGCATCTCATGACCTCCCACCTCTTGCATTCAGGATCCCTTGTATCTTTCCCTTTCTGTCACATAATCCTTTCCTTCTCTTCCCACTTCCTCAATTTACCATTTTATAACATCTCTGGGGCTAATTCTGCAATTGTTTACATGGTATAGGACCATTAGGAAAGCATTTAACACATTCTGGTGTGACCTAGGAGGTGGAAATAGCCATGTGAACAGCAGGCCCATAAGTAGCTTGTGGGTCACAATTTGAAAACCTTTTGATGCAAGCACAGCCCAGACCATTTAGCAAAAAGAGCTCCTATAGAGTCTTCTCATTCAAGTGACTGAGGCTTTCGCAAGGAACAGGAGAACATGAGTTTTCTTTCTGCTGATTTTTGGCAGTTCTAGGGGGGTGTGACTGGTTACTTAAAGATATTTTCCATATTGCTTATCTTTTCTTTCCTTTTGAGTGCCACATGGTCTATCATTTCCTTCAGCTCAGATATAGCCCCCAAGGGGACTTAGTCTATGAGTAAAATGCAGAACTAAGCAACAGTGATTAAAAACAAAAATGTTTTAGGCACACTGCTGTTGCTAGTGACACCAGTTTCAAATGCTTTCCCCTCTTGTCTCCCCTCTCTTAGCAGCTTGTTATGAGCTTCATGATGCCACTTGTCATCCAGGTGAGCTATGCCAACACAGATGGATGGAAGTGTCCCACTGCAAATCTTAAGACATTTGGTAACGGCTACCCCAGCTACAGCAAAAAAAACCCCAAAAAAAACCCTTTTCATGTGTTACTATCAACATCTTAAATTCTTCATTCCATACATTTCCAAGCCCTGTCACTGGAAGGATGGTAGCTCGTCTCACTTCCTGTTTTCACTTTCTATTTCTCAGGTGTTAGCACAACTAGAAAGTCTGAATCATTTTTAATTTCACCCCCTTCCAAAAAAGTTTTCATTGATCCTGCCCCCCCCCCCCCCCCCCCGCCGCGCCCTCCATTTTTTTTTTTCCAGGGACCCTCCACACCACACACATGGCCTGCTACGACCTCTGCCGCCCCTGCGGACCCACCCCGCTGGCCAACAGCTGCAACGAGCCCTGTGTCAGGCAGTGTGAGGCCTCCCGCGTCGTCATCCAGCCTCCCGCCGTGCAGGTCACCCTGCCAGGACCCATCCTCACCTCCCACCCCCAGAGCACCCCCCTTCAAAAAAATTTTTCATTTTTCCCTCCCCCCCCCCCCCCCCCACTGTAGTCAACTCTTTATTTTTTCGACCTCTTTTCCCCATGAATGTTGCTCATGTGGCCATGCTGGCTTTCAGTCTGGCTGCAAGTCCCCCCTCCAATAGCTTTTGAACCTTTTCACTGAATTTAACTCAAATTTGATGGAAGGGCGGTAGTCTCAGAAACAACCATGTCCCTACAAGATCTGTTAATACAGACAACATGCTGGAGGAGCAAGAACTAAAATCTGTGCCCCTCCTGATCAAACATTATTGTTCCTCTTGGCAGCTGGTACCCACTGGCCAGCCCATACCTACTGCTTCTTGCTCCATGGGGTTGTTGTCCGTGGTGTGGGGAGGAGACAGAATTAATGCAGTGGGGATGGAGGTGGGCTGAGGGACACAGGGAGCGAGTTTGTTGGAAATCAGGCCTCACTGCTTCCAGCTTTCCCCACAGGTCTTCTTTTGTGGCTAAGTTAAATCGATATTGTTTTATTTTAAACATGTCGAAAGCTTGACTTCAGCTTCAAATAGCATTATTTTTGTGGAGGTAAAGCCAGTACCTTAATATTATTTTAACAAAGCCTTCTGAAATGCACATACATTTCCAGTCAGCCGGATTCTTCCTTTTTGCTGAATACTGAACATTCTTTTCTTCCCCTCACTGTTGTCTTTGGCTGTAGAAATTGTACTTTCCACTTTCACAAAAACTGTAGGGGCATTATGAATGCCTGTATTTTTCTTGAGCAGACTTTTTGCTTTCTAACAAAACGGTTACACAAACTCACCTCACGCAAGTTCAGCGTTAAGTATGTGATTGTAAAGCACAAGGTGCTTATCTACTTTGCCCGTGTAGTTGCAATTGAAAATTAAATTCTCCTTTGTATTTTCTAATAGAGTGCCATGGGGAATGGTTGAAAAGATGTCATGTTCTTCTTCAACTGGCTGCATGTCAATGTGATAGACAAAATGATTTCTCTACAAACAGTACAGAACTGGTTTGGGGTCCTTGAGGAAAACAGAAATACAATTACTCATTATTATTTGTCTTAGCAAATTGCTTTCTCCACAGTAATAAATAAATATCTTAACTGGAAGTTTGTATAGCCAGGTGTTGGCATTGTAAGAAGGAGAGCTGTATGGTGTTTCACATTTCCTAATCAAATTACAAACTTTGATTATTATCTCCTGACAGCACTCTCAGCAAGGAGAAAGCATCATTATTGCTACTACACCAGTAGGGAGAGTGAAGTGATTTGCCCTGGAACTGGCAGAGGGGCTGCAGTAAGGTTCTGACCGGTGCTTTACTGCTCAGAGATACACACTAGAGTGCCAAAGCTCCTTACTTAGCTACAAAATCTTCTTCAAGATTTTATTAATCCGTTTTAGCACGGATTTTTTCCACACAGAGAGCTTCAACCTGAGAGTCTATTAACCATATGCATTTTTGCCCATTACCAGTTTATGAAACTAAGAAGCCGTGACTCCCCTGCATTACAATTACCAAAAGCCACACGTAGGTATGACTGCAGTTTCACCTCTCTCACCTTCCTGGACAACAGCAGTGCAATAATTTAGGGACTGCTTTCCATTTAGCATTCCAGGGTTGTACCAGGAGGACTTTTGTAGATATCATTGCTGCAGATGCCCCGGTCCTATTCAAACTTTTGAGGCTGGCCAGGAGCCTGGCCACGAGTCAATGGCTGACAGGCAGGACACGTGTTCCCCTTGGAGCCATTCTGCCTGTGTTATTTCTTTCATTCTAAGCT